CAGTCTGTATACAAATAAGCCAGCAGATCTGTAAAATGAATATGTACGCGGTACTCAGGTTCTGGAACAAGACTACAGTCTAGAGGTGGACGAACAATCAGAATTTTCCGCCGGATTTTGCAGAGAGCGAAGAAAAGGATGAAATAAGACCGTGGTTTTACCGTTAATTTGGGTTATGACATTGGTCTTAGTAAAAAAAAAAAAAAAAAACACAAAATCAATGAAGGGGCGAGCACATGACTGAGCTGTACGTAAATGATCCTTTCCAGACCACTTGACGTTTTTGTTATATGGTTTTACCTCATCTTTGTTAATAGACCACTCGGCAATAGACTGACCATGTAGCCAGTATCACGCCGGTAGAGTTTATTTCCCAGAACATCTGCACCTCAGCAGAACAGCTAGCTGCCTGTCTACGGAGTCGCACACAGAACTACCTCCATAGCTCCAGTGAGAATCCTGAGGGACTTCCGCCGTAAAAACTACCCTCGTGAAGTGAACGACATGTTCACGAAACGAACTCTCGACCTTCAGGGCGCGAGGCAAACGGTGTGACCACTTTGCCCCCCCCCCCCTCCCTCCCCATAACATGTAATACAACACAAACAGTACTTTTCTAGACGCCTCTTGTTTGAGTATATCATTGTTTCCTGTCCTCACGCGAGAGTGGAAAAAGAGGAGGGGGGTTATTTTGCTTTTTTTTTTTTTGCAAGAGGTTATACTTCACATAGGGGGGGTTATTTTACCCTGCGTTCTTTTTTTTTTTTTTTGTTGCATTAGCAATAATCATCATGGAAGACAGCCTACCAGATGTGCCGACATGGTATACTTCACATAGGGCTGCCGGTCTAGTTTCCTAATTCACTATACCCTGTTCGTATTCGTATTCGGACCGACCGCAACTATTCGGCCGAATACCGAATAATTATTAGGTCCACTTTTCGGCCCCGAAGCGAATACGAAGCGAATATTCGGTACAGCCCTAGCAGATACCTACCTCCTTCGAAATAGAAACCAACACAGAGATGCTACAATAGTATTATAGAAGGAAAAAATCCCCATAAGTTACACAGTCTGACAACAAGACCCAACAGAACCACAGGAAACATCTGAACAAGCTCTACACAATAAAGATCGCAAGTATAAGCAAATGCTCTGAGGAGCTGAAACGCTTGAACGCGATCGAATTATTATTGTTGTTGTGCAAATGGACTGGATTGGATTGGACATCTTCATTTTCCTGTGCTGAGTCAAGAATTGACATCACTGCACTCGGGGCATTCTCATGCGTGCTCCGTCCTCATCTTCAGCAGCCGGCGCAGAGTTCCAATAATGATAGTACCGGTCACAGTCGGAAAATTCCTGAGTCAACTGGATTGCCATTTTAGTATCTGTTTGGTGATTCTCTGCTTCTCTTCGAAAGGTGCACAACAAAGGCGACGGAATCCGGGGGTGCAGGTTTATTGAGCCCCCCCCCCTACCCCCATCTTCTTGTGGGGGTGGGGGAGAGGACTGGAGTGAGCAACTCCCAAATAATTCCAACCACATAATGACGTTCTCTTTTTAAGCATCTGTTTACGCATTTCATAATAATTTGAAGAAAAAATTATTGTTTCAAAATTCAGCGCATTATTGTTGTTATTATTATTAGTTTTATTATTATTATTACACAATTAAACCCTCCTTAACGTCTATAATAATTTTCTGAGAGCGACGGAGCCTTGTTTAATTGGTCAACAAGTTTAACAAATGTGAATATTATTGTTATTGTGCAATTAAACTAGGCTTGTGTCTTTCCGCCGACTCTAGAAACTCATAAAAAGGTGGGTTGCAGAGACATTTATCGTATTTTTCGCCTCAATTGATCATCATCATTATAAACTACTTCTGCCGATTAAGCGACATGAGGGGAATAATTTGCGACCCAATGCACGCTGGCAGTCAGTGGCTATTGTCATGCCGAGAAGGCGTACAGTGTCTTTAATGCTGTCGTTCCATGTTTTTTTTTTTTTTGCGACCCTTCTATTGTAGCCGATCTTCTACAGTATGTAATGCCTGTGATGGTATTTTAAACTGATATATTCCATTTATCATCAATTTCCTGTACCGGGCCAGCCACAGCAGCGATAGTGTCTGCAAGATAATCTGCAAACTCGTTCCCTTGATTAGGCCAGCCATTCGTGAAGTACTCGGTGATACAGTCCATTCTTGACTGATGAGCCCAATCTGGATTTTCTTGAGCATATTTACTGAGCTAAATCAGTACCGGCCGCCAAACGCCCTAATCACTTTGTTACCTCGCCTTTGATATGTGATGCATTTCAAAACTGTTTATTTCGTATGCGGTAGCGTTTCGAAGAGGCATTCTCGAAACACTAATTGTCCGTGTACTGATACGTTTTCACTTGTCGTTTCAAAGATACAATCTATAATTCTCAGTTAGCAGTATCTATCCAGTTGTGGGATACGCTTCACGCTTGAGACATTCCTAAAACATCCGTCTCAATTTTTACAGTTAAAATTCCTGACCACACCTCAATAACGGGAAGATTACTAATCACCCACCCTCATCGAACAGCAGGCTACTTCAACTGTTTTATATGGTTAAACTGGGTTTTATGTGCTCGAACTGGGTTTTTAAGATTTCATCATGTATATTTCGCATCAGAATAGTGAGTGGATCTTTCAGTTTTAGTCAATCTTTCAGGAGGCAATCAAGAAAAACAATAACGGGGAGCTGCAGCCAGAGCTTTGAACTCCTTGTAGAAGTTGTCGGTCTTTGTAGAAGGTCTGCACAAAATGGTGACCTGCGAACTGTGACATTCAAGCAATGCTCGTCAAACTAACTGTTCCCGAGGAGGAAGCGAGCAGGATAACCGTTAACAAACAGTATGTGTCTTTATAACGGTGTATCATAGATGTCTGTGGCAAAATATCTGTAAACTTAATTATCCAAAAATATAGACAGGGAATTGAGCTATCAGACTGAAACCCGACGAATTGTTAACAGATAATAATATAATAATACACTAGGTAATTAGAGAAACAAAGAAGTCAGTCAGAACCGAGTACAATGTGATGATGTCGTTTATGAGTGTCCTGTTACCCAGAAGTATTTTAACTACTGTTTCTATGTTTTTAACATTATACCGGATTACTCAAAATAAACGTTTCCACGCAGTTTGAACTGAGATTATATAAAAAGGTGTGCAATACTATATATAATGTGTATTTTAATAATTGTATTGTTTGTATTTGTTTGTCGTCAGCAGTAATTTTGGTGTTCACATATTTGAAATCACAGTTAGTAATTCAGTATAAAATAGGTCCTTAATCCATTCCAGATTCCTAGACTGCTAGTACTAGTATGCAAACTAGGACGTATACAAAACACATATTCCCATAAGAATTAAAAAGACAATGATTAATCAATTCCTATTTGAAAAAATTATTACACACATTGAAATGGTTGTATAAAACAATATACACGCAGCTTAACACTAAAGTACATTAGTTTAAAAAAAAAAAACTAGTGGTTTGGTTTGAAGAAAAACAATTAACTTCACTTTACCTGGCTAAGAAGAGTCAAAAGCCAACTAACTAGGGTGGTGCTGAGGAGATGTTATAATTTAGAAAGAGAACCCCCCCCCCCCCCCATCCCCACTTCCCCACCACAATGCTTCTTTCCAACTAAAACTTCAGGAAACGGAAATTCTGTTGTTTTTCTGTGTCAGTCTCTTTTCCCTACATGGGACCTGGTTGAGGCTCACCAGGTTTGATTTTTACTAAAAGTCTGCTTTTGTCTTCTTGTCAGGACATTTCCATTGTATCATCATTCCTATTATAACCCGTTTAGGCTTGGGGTGTTACTTCTTTGCAAAGTTGTTGACATCCATCCATTTGGCAAACATTTCTTTGATTAACGAGAGATAAACAAGGGTGGTGGGCGATGTAGTGACTCATTTTGACACATACAAGTTCTAGCATTTGAGTCATATTCTGAACAAAGGTCATATACAATACAAAGAAAAGTTGTTGGCATCTAAACAGGACTTATAATGAGTTGGACAAATATTGAATTGGACATATATTGAGGTACCAGGAGGTATCACTGTATATGAAAATGATGGAAAAGTGCAAAGCTGTTTTTTTTTAAACCTCTGAATCCTAACTCTTTAGAAGGAAGACACAGTTCATCCTTTAATGTGTATCCTCAAATTATGTTCAATGCATAGGTCCAGAGCCTATGAGAGCCATTCTTATAAAATCTAATTAGCACAAATCAAAAACACCCAAAAAATCTAGTTTAAAAAAAAATGTGTGCTCAAATTAAGTCACTAAGGAACTAAATTAATATATCGCAGGTATTAATAAAAATGTTAATAACTTTGACTATAAAGAAATTATTGGTTATTTAAGAACTGACATTATAGCACATCGAGCATACTCATAGATGTACTGTCTTTCACAGCATATGTCTTAAGGTGTAGATGCTAACTGTTCCCTGGCTCACTGGTTATACAGACACTATTCTTATCATGTCATATGTCCCTCTTTACTATATACACATTCTCACACATCTTATTTTACCTAACTATGTCTTTTATAAGCATTCATTATAAATGGGTTTCTTTGTCCAGTAGGAATATTCATATCACTGACTTTGATACTTACAGTGAAGAAGTAAAATCCTTTAAGATATATTTTTTAAGTGCATAGTAATTGTTACCTTATTTATTTCATGAGAACAAGTTTGCTAACTATAATTTTTATTTCTCTTGCAGAAAGCCAGACTGTTGATAACATAAAGATACTATTACCTGCAAATGTTGGGAAATAAAACCACCTAGTACAAACAGGCAATCTCAACCGTATGTGCATGTGTTTATATTTGATGCTTGGTGCACTGCAAGCCAAATGACTTTTTTGATTGTGAATGTGGTGAAAATCAAGTTAGTTGTTCATAGTTGTTAGATAATTGTAAAGATCAAAGAGTCAAAATGTTGCAGCAGATTCTGGAAAAAATGTACATTGATCCTGAACTTCTAGAGGAACTTTCAGAGGATCAGAAACAAGTTCTCTTTTACAAGATGAGACAGGTATGTATTTTTTTATTTCTTCCTCTTCTTTACATTTGTGATGTGTAATGTTGGTCCACAGCCGTATGTCCTTTACAGAACATTTATCCTTTCAAAGCCTGCCTGAAAAAATTCAGTCCCTCACCAGCACTTTATGCACTTTCCTGCCTAAGGTGCCTCATCTATACTGTGCCCATCTTCGTACTGGTTAGCTCCTGCCCCTCTGACTCGATACCCTACCCTCTGTCACTTTCAATTCTAACCCTATGTGGCATTTGGTGCGACAAAAGTATTTGTATTTCTGGGACAAGATACTGTTTGTGAGCCAGTTCTTTTTCTTTATGTTCATATCTTTTAGGATGTCATTATTTCTGTCCTTCTTGATAATTTTTATAGTATGCATTGAGTAAGAAGTCTGGATACATGAAAATGTCCCTACCTTGAAGGGGATTTAAAAAATATTATTAACTCTTTGAGTCCCAAGGAACGCATCATGCGTTCATAGGTTCCTACCTAAAAGCCCATTGAACGCATGATGCGCCGATTTTATTACCTTTTTTACTACCCCCTGGACCTGTGATGCTAAACCCCCTGGGACTCAAAGAGTTAACTGTTGGGCCAACAAGCAAGCATGCCAGCCAGTACACTACCCCATTTATTTTTCTTATGTTTTTTCTCAGACCCACGTTTGAATACTTGGTAATGTCTGGATTTTTGTGTCAGGTCAAAAAAAAAAGTTAAAATACTAACTTACACAGTCCTTGGTGACTACATGAGCCATATGACCCTAAATCCTGTGGCTCAAAACCCCTTCTCCCTGTATACACTTTGTTTTTTGTGTGAAGGAGGGGGGGGGGGGGGTGGGGGCGTTGTCTTACAAGCATAATAACTCTTTGAATTCCAGTTATTTGTTACCTCAACATTGTCTTCCTAAAGTTTTTCTACCTTAGAGCAGTTTTAAAAAAAGTAGTCTTATGGATTTGACAAATACAGCTTCAGGACAGAAGTTGTTAACAATAATTGAGATAAGGTGGTTTAAAATTACATAAAAATGGAGCACAAAGAATAAAGAAATGTATACCTTTAAAGAGAAATCAATGAATGCATTGTGAGTTTCTTAGTACTGAAAGAGTTCAAGGAAATATGACGGCATTGTTGTTAGCATGCTGGCTTAACAACACTGATCCCATTCCGGTCCCAAGCAGGGGGAGGATTATATTTGTTTGTCCTGTTAACGGTTTTCAAACATCATAAACTGGCTGCTCTATCTTATTATCCTGTAGCCTAGAATATGTGGACTGCTTGGGTACCATATGATTTTATCATTTAGTGATAGGAAACAAAGGTGGCTGTGTCCTATTCCCTGTGTGGGTTCCATGGAGAAAAAGAGTAGACACATTGCCCTCGTAAAAAAGCATGTGGTGTCTAATTAGGGGTGTTTCCTTCAAAGTCAAAGTGCATCTGCCTGAGAGACAAGGAACCAACATATAAGTAACCCAGATCTTTAAAATAGATGTGCATGTAACACTCAAGCTCTGAATAAAGACCAGAGTCCAAGAGTGGATGAAAACCAGAACGTTTCACTGGAGTTTAAAGGTGGTGAAGAAGAAGTGTGGGAAACTTGCTTCTTTATCTTATTACTGTGGCTTAGAGATGTGAGGGTCTAACCTTTTTCAACCCAGTGGACGTGTTTCTACCATTATCTTTAATTATGTTTTGTGTTCAATTCATGGGAGGATATTTCTATAACCTAACGTGTGTTCATACAGGAACAAGTCCGCAGATGGAAAGTACATGAGGAACAGCAAGAAGCAGAGGCAAGAAGCCAACCCAAAGGTATGACAGTGGTTGCTTTCCAGATTCAGATTTTAATCAGAAAACATAAAGTGTATTAATGCAGACATGATGAGTTTGAATGTCCTTATTTCCCCGTGTGGGTTCCGGGGCCCCATTGTGGGGAAAACAAGAATCGGCCCACTGCCTACCCAAAAGCATGTTGTAAGAGTCGACTAATTGGGGAGCTTCCTTTGAAGTTGGAGTGCATCTGCCTGAGAGGCAAGAAACTAACAGTCTGCACTCAAGTAAATCAGATCTGTAAAACTGATGCACATGCAACACTTATGTTCTAGAGCAGGACTTAGTTCAGAAGTGGACGAACAACCAGAACTTTCTGCCAGAGTGTACAGCTGGTGAATGCGAAGAAGAAGAAGAATTTCCTTATTGTAGTCTGGTAGTACCCACGTTGCTCTATGTATGCTGTCATGTAAGAAACCCCCCCCCCCCCCTTTTTTTTTTCTAATGACATATTGATTCACAGTGCACAAAATTTGTGTAGTTGTCCATGTTCATTCATTACCTGTCCTTGTGAGGTTTATGGGACCCAATTTGCGAGGGGGAAGGGGTATATAGATCCATTTCCCCTTAACAATTTGTTTGTAAAAGGCAAATACGAGTTTACTGAAAGTGGATATGTCAGACTGAAAGATGCAGATATTACAGCTTAGTTGTAAACCACAACTCAAGGTGCCAACTGCTCTTTTAACCAACTGACGACTACCATGATGGCATGTTATGCAATCAAGCGATGTTTATGCCTAGCTACCATAATCTCACCTCTTGCGATCATAACTTTGGTCACTCACCATCATGTTAAAATTGCAATTCTTTGCAATGAATTTGATTGCAACCTTTCATCATCATCATGTAGCAGGTCCTTTGCAGAACGTCGCTCTCATCATGGTCTGCCTGAAAGAAACTCGGTATCTCGCCAGCTCTCCCGCCTCATGTACTTTCATACTCAAGGAGTCATATCCTGTGCCCATCTTCATGTTGGTTAGCCCCTGCCCCTCCTTCATGGTCCCATTCCTTCTGCTATATTTTTTTCAAATCCGTTGTGGCGCTTGATATGACCAAAATATTTCAGCTTTCGAGACAGGTTGCTGTTTATTAGCCAATCTTCCTTGATGTTCAGATCTTTCAAGATGTCAGTATTTCTCCTCATGCAACCTTTAGCCCAATCATTTCTCTATATTTCTTTAGGGGAAATAATTCTGTGATGCTTATACTTATAGTAAATTTTAAATGAATTTTCATTGTGAGCTCCCATTGCTGACACATTGATTAGATTTTCATCATGCCGTCAAATTCTCAAAGTTATCCTGATGGTCGTATTTATCATTTTTCTGTTGCTGCACATGATTTTCTTGATTTGATTTTTCTTTGGAAAGTGAAGGTAAAGACATTCCTGACATTGATAAATCTTATAAAGTGCCATCAAAAACATCATGGACAATGAAACAACAGAATGTCATTTCAAAGTCAAGTCTAACTAGACTAGACCGGCAGTAAACTGTTGGCAGCAAACAGGAGTGCAGCAGTTTCAGATACTGATAGTTCTAGTGAAAGTATTCATTCAGAGCTTGCAGACTGTGGAGATATTATGTCTTGCCTCGCACATCACAAAGATATTATTGCCACTTTTGAATGAATCAAGAATTGACATCACGGCACTCGGGACATTGCCACGTGTACTCTGCCCCTTTCTTCTGTAGCTATTGAAGAAATCTCATGCTAATAGTGCAAGTTGCAACCTGATGACTAGTCAGCCTCTGTTTCCCCTTCAATGTTGAAAATCTTCCAGAACCTCTGCCCCCCCCCCCCCCCCCCCCTCCCCTCCCGTTTTTTAAATTGTTGAATTTGTTTTTCAATGTATGGTTCTCTATCTGTTCTACTGTTCTCCCCATTTGATCCAAGAAAGCCTTCACCACATCCACTTTAACATAAAGTAGTTCACCGTCCAGAGACATGGCAGCAGCTAATTAGCCAGCTCGTTACTTACACATCTGAATGTCCTGGACATTTATAAAGTTAGTTGTGTATCCTTTACAGGACTTTGCAGAACCAACCCCAGCATTTTTTGGCTGTTGTGGTTTTTCTAGGCAAATTTTGCTTCTAGTATTTTGCCATTGCTTTCTGGGCAGTCAGCTTCTCAATACCACTGTCAAAACCAGCGCAAGGCCCACAGCTGGGATTGAACCTGGCACCCTGGCATTACGAAGCTCGTTCACAACGCCTAAGCCACAGACACTGATGGAAATTTTTAGAGTTAATGAAAATGCATAAAAAATAGATTTTTTAGCATATTCCAAATAATGTTATGATATATTTAATGTGTTGTTTAAAATTTTAACTTATTAGGAATCTTATAAATTTGCGGTTTGAGTTTCCTTTAATGCCAGCTCATGCACAGCATTCGCATTATTTAAGCGGTTTCTTGTTTTGATTTTCACTGTAAGAAGGGTTGACATTTCGTGTCTTAGCTTACAACTGCACAGCGACCCCCCCCCCCCTCCCCCTATTTTCACCCAGAAAAACCATAGCAGCCTCATTAGGGGTTGCAAACCTTGGGCTAGGAACCTGTGGTATAATTCGATTAGTTCTGTTTTGTGCAGTTCGGAAGGTCATAGGTTCAGATTAAAAAAAAAAAATTACATTGGTTCCAAGGTCGATCCAGCCTTGAGTTGGTACCAAATAAAAGTCCTGGGAAGCAAAAGTGGCCAGTGTAATGCTGACCACATCACCCACGAGGTGCCGATGGTTCTGTACAATATAGGTGTAGCTGTATATGCCAAACACGCTTGAAAGTGTGTAGAGGGGTTTTATTTTGTGCAGGCTCTAGTTAATGAAATTTTATAGTTTATTAGTCATTTTCCATGGTTCTGAAAGTTTCTAATTAGAGATCATTAAATAATGCAATTTTATGTTTCACATTAGCTAGGAAAAAGGTGGACTTTTTGCTGGGCAGAGATGGTTGTGAGTGGGTGTGGGTAATGGGTGAGCACCCACTTGACAGAACTATTGAGCAGATACTGGAAGAGGAAACTAAGGCAACAGCAGTCAGATTAGCAGAGGCTGAGGCTGAAGCGTTAAGGTGAGTGTCTGGATTATCCTTCTCCTTTATGCTATCAGGGGCCGCTGCAGATCCAAAGATCGTGGGTTCAGGTTCTGACAGAGCCAACCCGTTTTTTTTTTAAAATGACCTCGGCTCCCAGGTCGACCCAGCCTAAATGGGTACCAGATAAAGTCATGGAAAGTACCACATAACCCATTGAGTGCCGACTGGTCTAGGCCTTTATGCCCAATTTACCTGAAGGCGTGAAAAATTTACTTTACATGATTTTACGTTTTTTAATGCTGGGGTGGGGGGGAGTGGGTGGGGGTAACTTGCTCTTGTTTTCTACATGAAATTAATAGCGCACATTATTTTAGAGTATATAACATTTTCAGGAGTAGTTAACTTTTAGAACAGTATAGATAATTATTAAATTGCAAATATGAATGTAGGAGTGGGAAGTTATAGAACTTAACAGGTATTGAGTTGAGGCATTATGAGGTGGACTGGCCAGCTATCACCTTGCTTTCCAAGAAAAAACAATCCTTTAGCTTGGCACTGATCCCAAAAAAACTGTTTAAATAAACCAGTGCACTGTCCATGAAATCTTACCCTAAGCCATTAGGACAACAGAGAATATTTTAATGCTTGAATCCCTGTGTGGGTTCCTGTGCCCATAATTGTAAGGGGGGGGGGGGGGGTAGATCCATTTCCCCCTAACAAGCATGTTGTAAGAGTCAGCTAGTTAGGGATGTTTCCTTTGAAGTCAGAGTGCATCTGTTCGAGAGGCAAGGAACACAACAGTCTGCATAAGGATAAGCTAGGTCTCTAAAATGGAAGTGTATGCAGGTTATGGAACAAGACTAAAGTGCAGAGATGTACGAACAACCAGAACCTTCTGCTGGAGTTTACAGCCAATGAACGGGAAGATGAAGAAGCAGATAATGCTTGAAATGGTACATTAAAGACACACATCTACTTATAGCTCAGGCCATGGGTTGTTGGTGCTTGTTTTTATCCACAGCATTTTGTCACATCGACTGATCAGGTTGTCACCTCCTTGCTGAGAAGAAAAATCTCAGTCTGGATGGCTGACCAGCAAGATGCCCCATTCAGCCTCCAAAGATGTTATAATTAGGACACTGATAATGGCTGTGGCAGCCTGGTGTAACCTGCAGTCCTGTGCGGGTAAACACGTTCTGTCATGTGCTGTAAATCTTCTTCTGCGTTCATCCAAAGATGTAACTGCATTGTCCGTTTACAGCATGGCTGCAATATTTGCACCTTTCGACCAACACATCTGACTTCTGCAGGCATTTGTTGACCATGTAAGCCTTCCCGGTGTACTGTAAATAATTCTTATACAGATGTTCATCCATGCGATGATGCTAAACTGGCCAACATTTCTGTTGGTCTTCCTATGGATATCTTCCCTTTAAAATTCCTTGTTGTTTCATTATGTTGGGTCCAAATGGAGCAATGATGCACAATACAAGACTCTTAATGTCTATTAGCCTCTCTTGCTCAAGCCTACCTCACCTTCACATGGTGGACCCTGTTCTTCCCAGCAATCCAGTTGAAGGTTGGGGTTTCAACCCCCAGCGGGAAACTGGATGGGACAACAAACGAGGTAAAGGTGAAAGACAAAGGGATGAGCCTACTCTCCTCGAGTATGACCACAGTCTACCCTTGCAAAACAAAGTGCTGAAATCGGAGGCAACCAGCCAGGAGGCGCACCACAGCAATAAGGATGCCACGCAAACACACCATGAAGGCGAACAAAAGAAGAAGAAGTTTCATTATGTACTCCAGATCTAGTACTGTATAGAAAGGGTCTATTACTCACTTATACTGTTACTACTGGGTGATGTAGACAGGGGGCCTTGAGTCTGAGGATTTAGGGCCATATGGTTAGTGCTGTTGCCATGAACTGCAGGTTAGGATGTTTAATTTTGCCCCCGACAGAAAAACCCATCACCTTACCGGGGTTTGAACCCCGGTTTCCCGTCTGAGAGCCCGATGTTGTACTGTTTGTCCAGCCGCTCCTCATTACTTTACATAATTATTGTATTCTCCAGTTTTCCAATTCTCTTTCTGTACCCATAGAATTCACATCCGCTTTTTCTTATGTGAGTGATCAGTGCTTCTCATGAAGAATATATCTTTAATATACTTTTTATCTGTTCACAGTGTTGTTGTTATTCTTCTACAACACATCTCTTCTTCTTTACTTCTTCCACTTCTTCACTGGCCACCTTAAAAATAGACACATTGTATTTTTGTAGAGTTTCTCTGGTGTTATCTTTCCATCTTGTCCTTGGCCTACTCCACGCTCTACATACCTCTCCTCTTTGGTGTGTGCCTTTTATAGTATGTTGTCACAAGGCATTCAAAGTACCCCATCCCCATACAAAAAAAAAACAATAAATACACAATGAAATTTTTTATTTTTTTGGAGCCTTTATTTTCATTATAAATTAAATTAACTTTTTTTTTTTAAATCTTTATCTGGCAGATTGAAAGAAGAAGCAGAAATGTTGAAAAAGATGGAAGAAGAGAAGCAGAGACGTATCAAGGAACATGAGGAACGTGAGGCAGAAATGAAGTAATTGCTGCAAATTCTTGTGAACTCTCAGTTGTTTTGTGCTGTTGATGTCCTTTTGCTTGATCAGTTTGTAGTATCAAGTTTTGTCTGTGTGTTACCGGGACGCTTAAGGGAGCAAATAATACTAACTCTGCACCTTACCAGGCAGGTGATAAGAGGTGACAAAGGGTACGATTAGGTTTAGGGTTGGCTTCCTCATCATTTAAATAAAATTTAAAAAACTACTATCTGAAAAATCAAACAATTTTGAGCAAGTCATGGGCTTTTGCCAATATAGCCTGGCCATAAATATGGCCTAAAGGCTGAACACGGTTTCTGGGACCTCTCCACAGTGATCCTCACCCACATGATGGCACTTGTTTTATCGGCTGTTTATCGCTTGTGTGATGTCCTGGTGGGGTAGAAAGTCAGTCAAAGTATTAAGTTCCATTATGAGATCTGAATTAAAAAGAGGACAGCAAGCCAGGCAAAATAATCTTAAATTTTTAACATCAACTTATTATTGCATATGTAAATTATGTCAATGGTGATTGTTCTGATAAATATTTCTGGCTACAGAAACTTTAGCTTCAAAATCATGAACATATGCCAGGCAGTAAATGCTGTTTTATATATATATATATACAAAATCATGACTGTGTCTGTAAGGACAAGAAAGATATATCAGTGAGACTAGATGAAAAGGCTCTTCTCCTAACAGAAGCATGACATGATTTGGAGACAAAACATTTTTTGGGTTTTTTTTTTATTTGCATCATCATTCATCCTCTTGTGCTCTTTATATGTCACATAAAACTCAGTCTATTCCTTCATTTCATTCTACCCTGCACAATCTTTCCAGTATCATGGATGGATTTTTCAGTACAGGCCTTTGACCTCTGTTATCAGTGTTCATCGTAGTTTTTTTTTTTTTTTTTTTTGGTATTAACAATGGGTGCAGTTATTTCCTCAGTCCATTTGTTTCCCATTTCAGTGCCTGTTTGGTGATTCTCTATCCCCTTCTTCACAGGATGTGCCTAGTGTATTGTCATCTTCTTAGTCTTGAAACTGCTGATACCAATGGTCATTCACAAATTTCTCTTTATTTCTTTACCTATCTTAGATTTATCTCATGTAACGTTCATCAGTTCCTTCAGACATTTGTTTTTAAATGCATGTTAACTTTTGTTCTATATCTTTAGTGGTTCTTCAGTTTTCACTGGTATATATTACAACAATTTTTCTAATTCTCCTCTTATGCAATTATATGCCACAAAGGGCACAGTCTCTTACTCCATTCTGTACCTTACTGTGCATGTATTTTGTTTATTCTCAGTGTTTTGTAATTTCATACTAGGCGCAAACAAGAGGAGGCTGCTTTACATCAGTCAATCAAAGAAGCTCAGTTAGCCATGGAAAGAATGGAGATACAAAGAAGGAAATTTGAAGAGGAAGAGAGAAAACGTTTGTTAGAGATTCAGGTAAGGATACATCGCATGTTAAGTGTCTGTGTGTGTAGACATAGTTACATATTTCCATAATCTTGATATGTAATCTTTTCATATATTAAATACTTAGGGTTATATATACTTTTTTCATAACTATTTATTCTTCATGGGACAAAATAGTTTCTTTTGATAACTGACACTGTTACAGTCTGGGCAGAGAGTAAGTTAGTCAGCCTTTCTCATCGGTTGAATGGGTAACGATGTGGGTGTTCACTTGAACATTATATATTTAATTGTCCTAAAACTGTTTTAATCCTAAGTAGTATATGATATGTCGGCTCTGTGGCTAAGTTGATGCGAACGCTTTGTAATGCCGAGATGCTGGGTTCGATCCCAACTGTGGGCCATGTGCCTTGCGTTGGTTTCGACAGTGGTATCAAGAAAGCCGACCGTCCAGAAAGCAATGGCAAACTAATGGGTGTAAATTTGCCTAGAAAAACCACACAACAGCCAGGGGCTGTTGGGGTTGCTTCTGCAACGTCCTGTATAGGATACACAACTAACCTTAGTATATGATATGAGACTGGCTTTTGGTCTTTAGTCTTAGCCATCACATTATGTGTTTTTCTTATACTTTTTCACTAGACCATACTAAATTTAAAAAAAAGCCTTCTTGTATAGTTAGTTAGCTAGTTAGTCAACAGATTATCAGACCACTCAAACAACACCAGTTCTGTGTTTGTTTATTATTCTTCATTGGCTACCTGAGTAGTGTTTCTTGTTTAGCAACACGATGTTTAACTTGCTGTTCTTGCAGTCTGAATATGGCTGCAGATTCACAGTTCTCAGTTGGTTCACGCAAATGTCTTAAATCTCGTTGAGCATTCAATATATCAGCCTGGTCCATGGCTTGTCCGGCTTTCACAGTAACCTTACCTGCAAGTCTGTCAGCTTGCTCTTTGCCTTGTACTTTTTCATGTTCTGGCATGAAAAGGCTTATATGATCTTTTCCACTGTGTATTTGGTCTCTTTTAAAGAAGTGCACCCACAGTTTTATTAAAATGGTTATTTGATGTCCTCTAAAAAATCTTCTGGTACTAACAGTTAAAATATGTCAACAAGTTTAAGATGCTTTGGAGTCTACCTCTGTTGTCACCTTTACACCTTCCCTGTTTGTTTATATTTGAATATATCAGGATAAGCTAATTATGATTTATAATGATACCTGTGCAAGTCTGCTTGCAATATGAAACTAGTGTGACTGACGGTTTTTTATAAGTTAAACAGTGTCCTTAGCCAGCAAACATGAAATGCATCTCGTTAATTTGGAACGTGGGCTTTGATTTGAAAAATTAATTATTTAGTGAATGATTAGTGGTAGATTCACAAGTATGTAAAAGTGTTCACAAAGTTTACATCAATGTTTTTCCTATGCTGGGTCTGGGCCCTTTTGTAAAAAAAAAATTGAGGATAGACCCACTGCCTCGCCAAAAAGCATGTTATAAGAGTCGACTAACTGGGAGCTTTCTTCCAAGTTGGAGGGCATCTGCCTTAGAGGTAAGGAACCAAAAGTCTGCTTAAAAATAGGTCAGATCTGTAAAACAGATGTGCACACAACACTCAGGTCCTAGAACAAAACCAAAGTCCAGAGGTGGGCGAACAACCAGAACTTTTAGTCGGAGTTTACAGCGGGTGAACGAAAAAAAAAAAAAGAATATTTCATGTGAAAAATCTATCAGTTTTATTTGAAAATAAGCTGTGTATGGATTCTTTGATATCATCAATTATTTTACCTTATTAATCATATCCTATAGTTTATTTACCAGTATTCTGGATTTCAGTTTCTTTCCACAGCTCACTAAGTTCTAATATATATTGAGGGAGGGGGGGGGGGGGACTAGCTCATGTCTTCACTAGCTCCTTTGCAATATATAGTAGATAAAAGATATACATGTGTAACTGATCCGTAGTAAACCAAAATTATTAGTAGTTTCAATATACATTGTTAGAGCAGTATTTGATCAAATATGATATGGCATCTTTCATGTGTGTGGATGGGGGAAAATGTTTTTAATTAGTTCTTTGTTCTGTTTATTTAAAATTATACCATCTTGTAGTCTCTTTGTCTGTTTTCTTCTTTTTCTCTCCTCTCTCTCTCTCTCTCTCTCTCTCTCTCTCTCTCTCTCTCTCTCTCTCTCTCTCTCTCTCTCTCTCTCTCTCTCTCTCTCTCTCTCTCTCTCTCTCTCACACAGTGTCTGTCATCAGACTTATCTCTCTTTCCCTCCCTTTAAGCAAAGGATATAAATATATGAGTAATTCATATATATAGAAAAATTAAAAAATGTAAATATGATCTGATAGTATAATTAATGAAGGACCCTCTTTCATACGCTATTAAGCATTTAGGATTAGACCTTTATTTTATAGACCAATGTCTATGTGATGGGTGATGTGATGGGTGATGTGGTGGGTGATGTGGTCAGCATCATGCGGGCCACATTTACTTCCCATGATTTTTACTTGGTACCCATTTAAGGTTGGATTGACCTGGGAGCCAAGGTCATTTTTGAAAAGTTCAGATTTGAACCTATGACTTTCAGATCTGCAGGCAAGTGTATAGCTGTTACACTATGGTGGTTCCCTGATATTATTATGAAATGTAAATATTCATTAGAACTCTTGTTAAAATATTTTATAATGTTTAAGGTTATGAAAAAATATATATATATTTTTAAGGACATTTTGTTCAGAAATGTAAATCTGTCATGTTCCTTTTCTAAAGTAGTTTATTCAGGATGAAATAAATATATCTCATGTCTTTTACCCAGAAAGCTATTATGTTAGAGCATGTTATTATATATATATTTCACATGTTTCTAAAATAGCACACCTGTAATGCACCAGCAGAAAGTCCAGACAGTTTGGTATCGGGGTCACCTATATTAAACTCCCCATTTTTATCGGTTGGTATGCATGACCGTGCAGTGTGCCCCTTTTGTTTTTAAATGTAAAGAGAATGTATATAAAAATTGAAAACTTAAACTGTGACAGCATTTTAGTGACTTTTTAGGCTTTTGAAAAATGTGTCTGATGTTTAAATTTTTTTTAACCCCAGAAAAATGGCATGATTCTTGTGGTTGCTTGATAAAGTTCTGATTTTTCTTTAGTTTCATTGTTTTATGCTCTTGATTTTTCACAACAGTATTTTTATGTTTGTCCCCTTGTGGGTTTCCGGGACCCCATTGTGGGGGAAATGAGAATAGAGCCACTGCCTCGCCAACAAGCATATTGTAGGAGTCTATTGATTGGGGGCGTAATTCAAAGTCAGAGTGCATCTACCTGAGAAGCATCATCATCATCATCAGGTGCCTTGCCGACTGGCGTGGGCGATCATGCCTCTCCATAATCTGCGATCTCCTGCATCATGTATCAGTTCGTGTGCCGACACACCTTCATGCCATGCAACAAGACTGTCAAGCATCTTCTCTCATTGTCTTCCTCTATCTCTCCTTACCTGAGAAGCAAGGAACAAAAAGTCTGCAGAGAATTAAGCCATATATCTGAAACAGATGTGCATGCAACACTGAGTTTCTGGAACAAGTCTAGAGTTGGATGAACACCCAGAACTTTCTGCTGAAGAAGTTAACAGTATTTCTATGTTCTGAAGCAGTTCATATTAAAAATTAGTATTATAATATATTAAGTATACTCAGCCTTACTAGATAGTGAAGAAAGCTGGACAATGGATGTGCAGTTAGGAAAAAAGTCAAAAAGGTCCTGGAGATATATAGAAGAATAGGTCATATTAGATGGACACTAAAGTAATCAAATCATACAGTGGGAAACAAAAATGAAACAGACCCATCTGTCCATATACTGCCACACTGAATGCCTCTACGCATCTGTGGAGCAAATGATGGCAGGGAATGCATATGTTCTGCCACTGCCTTCTCTTGTGGGCTGACGAACATTACGTAGCTTTTTTGTGGGGGGGGGGGGACTGGCCTGAAAAAGGGGGGGGGGGGGGAGGGGGCACAACATGTGATCTAGGAAACAAAGGTGTCTACTCAGCAATGAGACCCAGCAGTGTCCCATAAAACTAACTGGGAAGGCTGCCATCAAATGCCTGCAGAAGTCAGATGTTTCAGCCGAAAGTTGCAAATAGTGCAGCCATATTTTAAATGGGCACAACAAATTTACTTCTTCAGATGAAGTCAGAAGAAGATAATTAAATACCAAAGTTCTAGAGAGGCCGGCAGTGAAGAGAGAACTGTTGAAAGAAGTAAAAAAGAGAACAGTGAAATACTTCTGCCACATTAAAACACATGTCACTATTTTAAACACCGTACTGGAGTGGAAGTTGAAGGCAAGCACAAAAGAGGTAAGCAATGATACGAATAAAAGGATAACCTCAAGAAATAGGTGAACAACTGTCTATGAGAGTGTCAGGGACGCCAGGAGTTGGAGGATGTTGGAGAACCTTTGTAGCTGACCTTCACTGTAGGGATGGTAACTGATTGAAAATATAAGTTTATATTGAAGCTGATAATTTAAAATGATATAAATATTTTGAGTATTTCATGTATCAATATTACTTAGACTTATTTGTTAATTTTCCTGGCATCGCCTAATTGACAGTGTTGTAAAGATGTGTGTATCTGTCTCAGTATTCTGTTTTACTGGTATGTGCTTTCTTTGGACTGTGAAAAACAATTGTTATATTTTGGAATTATCTTGGACTGGAGCATGTTTTAGCTGTAGCTGCTACTGAAATGTTAGAGGTGTCCTATTTTTCATTTGAAACTCGGTGCATGTTCCATTCTCCTTTCTTAGAATTCATTGTGTTAATTGTTTGTAACCACAGAGTAACAGCCTTTATTTAATTTTTAAGATGAAATGTTTGTGCTCTGAGATTGAACAATTATATAATTGAAGCTGGTAAATTGCCAGTAATTTATTAATGGTTATAGTTGACATTCTGTTTGATATAATGAGAGGATAATAAATATATTGCACAATAGTTTTTTGTCATTAGTATTTAAATTACAGCAGGAAATGACTGCTTTGAATATATTTTGTTCACTTTCTTAATATAAAAGTATAGATTATTAGTATCTTTTGAAGCATAATTTTCATTTTGTTAAAAATCTTTTTGATGGCTTTATTTAGCTCATTTTCCGGTTTGCATAATTATATTGAATTCATTTCAGTTTTCCTTAAGGTAAAACTGACTTTTCTTCACATTTATTTTGAATAATACAGGAACAAGAGAAGAAAGCTAAGAGGAAGTCTCGAGAAATTGCAAACTCTGTAAAAGAGAAACGGAGTAGTGAAATATTTTCAACATTGCAGAGAAAGCGTGAGGAACTTGAAAAGCAGGCACTTGAAGGTCAAAAAGAAGTGGAAACAAGCTGGCAAGAACAAGGTTAGAGATAGAGATTAAAGCACACATTTTGTTAAATCTGTGCCTTTATCAAATATCATTAGTGAATGTATGAGGCAAATGTGATAATGGGGAACATAATGGTTTGATTGTGAGATTATTTTTGTGAATGTAATGCACAATTAGCCACATGTGTATTTGGGGAAAAGGGGGGGGGGGGGGGACAAATCAAGACACTGATTTTATTTTGAAAGTTCTGAAGCCTTCAAAGTCTTAAAAGTTCTTCTTCTTCCTCCTCCTCTTCCTCTTCTTCTTATTCCTTTTTTTCTGTGACTGTAATTAAGTCTTCCTCACCAACAAATAATAAACAAATAATACAAATGAATCAACTGAGGACTTTTATGTGCAACTTCAAAATATTATAAGTAATGTATTACTGTGTGGTAACAGCTCTTGCATATTTGATCTTTCCTTATCTTTTAAGAGAAAAAATCAAAGGAGGCAGACATTCAGATGAGAGAAAACGCTCGCCAGGCAAGAACAGAATATAAGGAATCACTTAGGAGGTCCTTTACTCTGATGCAGACGACTGCTACACCTAATGGAGGTCAGCCTGGAGCTGTAAACAAACCACCGCTGCCACCAAAGTATGTACTAAGCTAGCTAGAAAGTAACTAAAGTATAGGACGACTTTAAAGCCTATTTTTGGAATGAATATATGCAGGAAGGCTAACCTGGTCAACAAATGCCTGCAGACATTGGATGTGTCGGCTGAAAGACACAAATATTACAGCCGTACTGTAAATGGGCCCAATGCAGTTACATCTTTGGGTGAATGTAGAAGAAAAATAATGTGTGAATTAAGAATTGGCATCGCTTGCACTCAGGACATTCACACACATGCTCCATTTCCTTCTTCAGTAATAAAGAGTGACAATGTTTATAGTTCCATTTGCAACCTGGAAAGCCACTTGTGTTCTGGTTCAGCATTGAAATCTTTGATGTACCAGGCGAATGATAGTAGACATATATATAATTATAGATCAGTCAGCACATAGTTGTGATATGGTCAACATCATCATGAGTTGACTTTACTTTTAGAGATATTTTCTGGTACCCAGTTAATGCTGGGTTAACCTGGGAGCTGAGGTTAATGATTTTTCTTGCTCTAAGAGGTTCTATTGGTCTGATTGTATTAGAAACAGTTTTAATTTGCTCCGCATTAATTAAGTAGGGATTGTATAATCCTGCATAGGGCAACAATTTTTTTAGAGAAGAGAAATTAGTTAAATTTAGTCAAGAATTGACATCACAGCATTTGGAACATTCCCATATGCGCTCCATTCTCTTCTTCAGCGGCCAGCAAAGAGTTCCAGTTCTGATGGTACCAGTAGTTGATTATATGTCACTTACCTTTTCTTTGAGTTTAGAGTGCTGGCCATATTGTCTGGTCCTACTCATCACACCATTCTCTTCACACCATAATAATCTATTCATGTTTCTGCATTGTTCACTTGCTAATAAAGTGCCTTGACCACGTTTAGCTTGTCGCGCATCAAGTCAACACCAGATAGTGCAGCAGCAGCCAGTCTGTTTGCCTATTCATTTTCCTAGTCATCTGTATGCCAGAGAGAATGTGAAATTTTAAAAAAATCACCCTGAGCATTAGCAGAATATTATTTATATGGAAACTGCTGCTGCTGCTCCTCCTCCTACTACTACTACTGCTACTACTCCTCCTCCTCCTGCTGCAGCACAACAATGACTGATGTGGGCGATCATGCTTCTCCACTGACACCACCACTACTACAACCACTAAATATTTACCCTAGAAATAGAGCAGACAGATAAAAGAATTGAGTTGTAATTAGTTATATGTTTGTATGTCTGTCTGTCTGTAAACTTGATAGCAATAATCAAAATCTTGTAGACAAGAATAGTTCACTATTGAAGTGTGGCAAATACTTCTGCTCAGATTAAAATTTGTGCTGAATTAAACAAAAGTCAACCTTTACCAAATTTAACATCTTTTGTCATGATGTTAACATATAAATATTTGTTTAAAGGAAACATCTGATGGTGACCAGTGCACCTGGCATTGCCAGTAAAAAACCTCGACCACTGAGGCCCAAAAATAAAGAGATGATTATCAACTGGTTTCAGAAAGAAGAAAAGGATAAAAAAGCAACTGTGAACCCTGACACTGGGAAAATTGCAGACTGGTTTCATGGTGAGTGAAATGCCATTTTATGTTGAGTTTATATGGACCATTTCAACTTATTTCTATGTGGCATCCTCCTCCAGTTGTGCTTTTTATGTCTGACACAGGGTCTGTAGACTGTTTCTCCAACTTATTTTTCCGGTTGAAAAGACACTCCCCCCCCCTTCCCCCCCCCCCCCCCCCCCACAAATGTAGTTAACCTTCTTCTATTTTATAGTATTATTTATGGTAAACTCTGGTGGAAAGTTCTGCTTGTTCATCCACTTCTGAAGTTCAGTCTTGTGCCAGAACTTGATATTTATGTGTACATCTGCTTTACAGATCTGGCTTTCTTGTGTGCATATTGTTGGTTTCTCGCTGCTCAGGCAGATGTGCTTGGACTTCAGAGGAAAAATACCTACTTAGTCGCCTTTTATGACATGCTTCTTGGGGAGGCAGTGGGTTTGTTCTCTCTCTCCCCCCCCCCCTCCCCCTTTCCAAAATGGGGACCTGTAACCAGAACAGGAAATCAATTGATATTGTTATGTGATCCCATCACTTCATATTTCTGAACCTAGTCTATGAGAATCCCCATCTTCTCGTGCCTTTTTTTTTGGGTCAGCATCCTCCATAGAGTGACAACTGACATCTATCGCTAAGTTTAGTTCAGTTAAGAACTGACATTACTGCACTTGGGACATTTCCATCAACACTCCATCCAGCACATAATTCCAATTCTGGTGGTGCCAGTAGCAGTCTGATTGTATGTCCATCTAGCCTTTTCCCTGAGTGCGGACTGTTGGTCAGATCCCCTAGTCATTTTTGATTGTATGTCCATCTAACCTTTTTCCTGAGTGGGGTCTGTTGGTCAGATCCACTGTTCATATCTGATTGTCCATCTTGCCTTTTCCCTGAGTGGGGTCTGTTGGTCAGATCCACTGTTCATATCTGATTGTCTGTCCATCTTGCCTTTTCCCTGATTGAGAACTGTTGGTCAGATCCCTTGTCATTACCTGCTCTTCTCATAAAAAACATGATGATGTGTTTGTGCCCTCACACCATTCTCTTGATAATATCTAACTTGTCATGCATCAGTTTACCACAAATGTGCAGAACCAGCCTGTTCATTTACCAGCCACTTGCATGCCTTGGAGAAAATATCCAAAAGATGCTAACCACCTATGTCCTCTAAAATGATGCTTGCCACACTGCATACATATCTCCAGCTTTCTCAGTATGTTTTGTGAGTCAGTTACAGTTATGAGATGTGTGAGCAGCTGGTTCTCTAGCCAGTGAAAGGCTGCAGTGACTGCCTTTCTCTCCATTCTCAATCTAGAGAGATAATATGGCAGGCTTTGTCGCACTAAGAGTTACCCATTCACTTTTGCAGTTAACTCCTTGTAAGGGGGGTAAAGCCATCAGATGAAGCAGTTTATATAGATAATATTAGAAATGAACTTTAAAACTAACATAGGTTATAACCATGAAAACAATTTCCTCAAACACCTGAGCAGAACAGACCAAGTCACATTTTTTTTGAGCCAAACATCTCTCTGCCAGTGTCTTCATGCTGAACAGACTACGAAACATGTCTTGCAAGACTGTCCTCTCTTGGCGGAGCTGTGAAGCAACATGTGGCAACACCCAATAGACCTGACAACTAAGCTTTGGAAAACCTAAGAGACCTCGGGATGACATCCCAGTTTATGGCTCACAGTGGATAAAGGGCATGACCAGAGACCACTCAAGAAGAAGTATAGATAATATCACCACCTGCTGAGGAATTGTCGTCTGTCACGTATTATTTTCATACATTTCAGGGATTATCAACAGAGTTGACTCTGAGAGGATGCTGGAGGAGAAGGAAAATGGTTGTTTCCTCATCAGAGTCAGCGAAAGAGTGTGGGGCTATACCCTTACCCTGAAAGAATCTAATCGATGCAAGCACTTCCTTATCGATGCCTCAGATTTAGGGTATCAGTTTTTTGGAGCTGATCAGACAGTCCACCAGTCACTAGTTGAACTTGTTAAATATCATCGGGTATGTATGATATCACTTGTTAAACATCATTGAGTATGTATGGTATCACTTGTTAAACATCATAGAGTATATATGATATCACTTGTTAAATATCATTGGGTATGTAAGATTTTACTTCTTAAATATCATCAGGTATGTATGATATGGAGGGAAAGTGGAATGCTTTTGAAAAAAAAAAAGACATAACACTCTTAAAATAACCATTCTGGGGGGAAATGGTTAAAATCAGGCAAGAAATAGGGTTATCATTGAAACAAATTGGAAGATGACCTAAGAAATAGGTGAAAATCGGTCTTATAGAGTGAACAACTAGGGCGAGCGACATAGTGTTGTAAAGATTTTGGATACATTCAGTCTTCATTGTTAAGATGGCACCTGATTTATTGAAATGTCAGACACAGCTTTGTAATTAATGGAAAACTATGTCACATCTTTGTGAGAAAGAGTGCTGGCCCTTTTCTCCCCAGCTTTGTACCAATATGGAAATTGTTACATTAAATATGTTTAGTTGCTAATTTCTGTTTGTCAAGTGCTCATTCATAATTTATGAACATAAACTTTATCTTCTATTGTTTCTCTGGAGCTGTTTCTGGTTGTTTTTCTCCGACTGTTTTACTTTGTGGCCTCTCCTTGGCTGTATCACACATTTTATGTGTGTATTCCACTATCTCTCTCACGTGTTCTGTCTTTGACTTTCTCTCATTCCCTCTTACTGTTTATGTCTCTCTATTTATCTGTATTTTTGTCTATCATATGACTGTCCATATCTCTCTCTCTTTCTCTACCTTCTCTTTTTTTTTCTTTCTGCCTCTTTATCTGTTTTGTCTGCCACTGTGTCAGTAGCCTGTCTATCTATCTAATTCTCTCTCTCTCTCTCTCTCCCCTCTCTCTCTGTTTTTAATCTGTTTCTTTCTGCAGTTGTCTGGCTGGTTCTCTCTCTCTCTCTCTCTCTTTCTTTCTCTCTCTCTCTCTCCTTCTCTAACTCATCTCTTTGATATTTGCTAATCTAATATTTCTTATTCTCATAATAAAAATTCAGTCAGCCAAACATGTTTTTCCCCCCAGGATAACCCAGTGACTATCTCCGGCCAAGAAAGATTACTGTACCCCTGTGGTCAGTCAGTTGATCCCCCAGACTACAATGAATTATTCCAGGAAAGGAAAACTGAGCCCTCATGATAACATAAATCTGATGCATTCCTAGTTTACCTACTCCATCTTTCTATTTTATTTCAGTCATTTTAAACCAATGAGTTTATTTACATTCAAATGAGTATCCTTTATTTTGTTTTGCTATTCCATCTTGTTTCATTATTTGTTCTTTATTTTAAAGGATGTTTCTTAAGTATTATCTAGTTATTCACGTATTCTATCACAGTTATTTGTTTCACTCTTATTACATGTCTTCCAAGTACAGAATAAATAAGTAAGAGCCGCCATGTATGTGTACGCATGCAAAGTTGATTCTCCACTTTCTGTATATGTAATTTCATTTATGCTACCTTTGTAGAAATTAAGGCCACATATTTTATGTCATTTATGTATTATGTTGATGTCACTTACCAGCTGCTGAGACGAAGTAGATAAATGTATTGATGAAGTATTTTCCTCATGTGATTAACTACTGGACGTAAATTTGCCTAGAAAAACCACACAACAGCCAGGGGCTGTTGGGGTTGGTTCTGCAACGTTCTGTAAAGGATACGCACCTAACCTCATGTGATTTCTGTGGTCCCACTGTTGGGGGGGGGGGGGGGGGCAAGAATAGACCTACTGACTATCCAAAAAGGCAAGCTGTAAGAGTCAACTAATTGAGAGCTGGGAGCTTGTTTTGAAATCAGAGTACATCTGCCCGAGAGGCAAGGAACAACCAAGTGCACATTAATAAGCCAGCAAAATGGATGTAATGCAAAGCTCAGACCCTGGCACAAAGCCAATGGATGAACAGCCAGGTCTTTCCACCAGAGCTTACAGCTGGTAAACAAAGAAGAAGCAGAAGAAGAAGATTAAGTATTTACAAACATAATTTTCTCCACCTCATACGCCAAAGTCATCTTAGGGCTAAATGCTTGTTTGGAGAATTAAATATTTGAACACTGTGGCCGTTGAAACTTCAAATGAGAACTGTGTGGCTGTGTGAAAAGTAATAATTCATGAAAAGTAATAATTCGTTTTGACCTGTGTGGAATAAGAATTCACATCTGTGCCTTTGGCATATTATAGAGGGACAAATAACAGTCCCTGAAAATGCACTTAGGTGGAAGTCGTCAAAATCGCACTAAGGTGACTTTGCACTTAGGTGACTTTGCATAGTGCCAGTAATATGTATGTTTCTGAACAGTTTCTAGATGCCTTAATTTGTTTAATAAGTTGCTAAACTTATATCTGCTGGAGTCTTCGCAAAGTATTTCTTGTGCCTTATTTTCTTTACAGCCAGAGTACAGTAATAAAACCAGTCGGAGGATGCACTAGATATTTTGTTGATTCATAAGAAATAGGAAAGCTTGACATTTTGTTGATGTATAATGAATGGAGACAGTCAGCAACTAGTGAGAAATTTTGAGAAAACTGCCAAGATGTGGTTTTTGTGGAAAGTCATTGAAGTCAAAAGATTGACTTCACTGAGCAGAGTTTTATCACATATAGCTCGGTCTCTCTCTGCAGAATGGCTAGCCACCTGCCAAGAGCATCACACTCACACAGAGTGTAAACTCCATAGCTCCAGTGATGATCCCCAGGGTACTTCTTTGATAGAAAAATGATTAGAACAACAAGGACAACTAGAGTCAATCAATCAATCAGGTGACATCTCCACAATGAAGTTTGGCTGCAATGGATCCCTTGTGTTGGTTGTACACTCTCTCAGACTGCTGTTTGTCCATCTTTTGATATTGTCCTCCAACTTGTACCTTGTCTGTCACATGCTTTTTAGCCCTCAACCTTTCTTTCCACTGTGGTTTTTAAAAGAGTGCTATGTCTTATCATGTGCCCAAAAATTTCAATTGTCTCTTTGCTATTTATTTCTGTGTGAGTCGCCGTGGCAGGACTGCTAGGTGCTCGCCATGGATCGGAAGGTTGTAGATTCGCTCCCTAGCAGAGCCGGACTTTTTAAAAACATGACCTTGGCAACCAGGTCGACCCAGCCTTGTGGGTACCAGGTGCAGTCCTGGGAAGTAAAGGCATCTGGTGTGATGCTGACCACATTACCCACCAGGTGCCGATTGGTCTATAAAAATATAGGTCTAGCACTATATGCCCTATACGCCTAAAGGCCTGGAAGAGGGTCCTTTACTTTTTTGTTTTTTTACTTATTTCTTTCTGTAACTCTCTTTTCATTCACAGTCTCTCCAAAATCTCTGTATCTGATTGGTTTTGTTTCCATGTTTCTATGAAATATGATCTATTTTTTTCTATTTCTACATTTCCAGAAAAATATCTTAACTGTAGATTAGTGGGAAATTATATGTAAGCAGCCGTTTGTATTTTTATAGGAGAATGATGAAAGTAGCATGGACAGATTTAAAAAAACTGATCGTGACAAAAATTAACTGTTGAGTGCTGAGCTAAGAACTGACATCACAGCACTAGGGGCATTCTCATAAGTGCACCATCTTCATCTTCAGCAGCCAGCAAAGAGTTCCAGTTCTGATTGTGCCATTAGCAGTTTGATTGTATTTGCATCTTGCCTTTCCTCTGAGTGTAAAGTGACAACCAGATTCCCTGCTCACTCCAGGCTGTACTATTCTCTCCAGACAATAATAATCTATTGGGCCTCAGCATTGTTCACTTGCTTCCCAAAAGCCTTGATCACATCTAGCTTGTCATGCATAAATTCATCATCCGTTGGTGTAGTACCAGCCAATATGTCTGTCTGTTCATTTCCCAACACTCTTGCATGCCCTTGAGAAAACATCCAAAGAATGCTAACTACCCAGGATCTCTAAAATAAATTAACTCACAAAGAGAACTGAGTACTTAGGTCAGAATTGGACAATATAAATTATTTGGGCATGTCATAAAAGGAGAAAACTGGAGTGTGTTGTGACAACATGAAAACTTGAGGAGAGGTGGGAAAAGAGCTAGAGAGTAGATATTAGACAGTTTGGCATCATGACATGGAGGGACATTTAAATAAAAGAAATTATTACCTTACACCTGACTGACGGCTGGAGACTACACAGTCCATGGCAACAGCACCGCCATAAAAAGTAGTACAAAGAGACAGTAATTACAGATATGATGATCATTATCATTAGTTTGCACACTTTATTTTTTTGAGAGTTCTACATAATTTTTGAGCATTTTGTATCCAATGTAAATTTTCTTTCACAATTGTGAATTTATATCTTCCAGCATGAATGGCAGAGTCTCATAGTCTGCTTACGTAAATGTGTGTATAACTTTGTTGTTTACAAATATTTTTCAAAAATAATGTAAATGCTTTTACATTTCTTTTCTTATTGGCAATTCTGTTACTCTCCACTGAGATTACATGTTAGCAGTTTGTGTATTATGGTGTTATTATGCATGTTAGATTTATATAAGTGTGACAGATGTATGTGTCCAACGAGCAGCATAAGTTTACACATTATGGCCATGTATAAATTATGAATCTCATCAACATCATCTGTGTAGTGCAGGGCTTTTTACCTGGTGACCTGTGAGCCAAATCCAGCCAACAGAGGCCTAGCAAGTGGTATGCGCATTACCTGCCAATTATATTGTATGATCATTTTAATTTGGGGCTACGGCCTCTGGCTCTTGATGGTCAAAGTTTTCCACATATAAACCTCTGAATAAACTTAGTTGAATGGCCCTGGTTGAGTCATTTCTACGATTAGTGTTAAAGTGCAGAGTATTTTTTCATTTGACGTACAGACAAGCATTCTTTGTAATTGTGATGGTGTACGATACAGAAGGTAATGGACAGACATGATTCCCTAGGCCACATGACCAGGACCATAAGAAGAAATGATTGCAACATTTTCGTTTTATATCTGAGCATTCTTCTTTTCCTCTTTATTGGTAAAGACTTTGGTCAAAACATGTGCAGGTATCTGTTTGTGTATCCCGGAGATAAACATTTGTGTGACCTTCCGAAATGCTTTTCCAGGTGTGTGAGGTACATTCTAGAATTTGTTCTAGAACTTTCTTCATATCTTAAACTAGGGATCAAAATAAAAGGGAAAACAAAATGATAAGTTAAGGAATAAGATAGGATGATTACACTCATCAATAATATTTGTGCCATTATTTTCGCATCAGTGGTTATTACTTTACATTGTTTATTATTTTGTATAGATTGTGATAAAGTTATGTGGTGTGGGTTAATCACTTGTTGTATGTGTTGAAACATGGTCTTCTGTGTAGGGTTCAGTGTATTATGATATTGTGTGGATTTTATACTCATGGCATTTAATAACACTGTTATATTTTATTTAACAGAAAGCTCAAGATTAAAACAAAAACAAAAAGCTTGTATTTTCAGCACTCTTCTTTATGGCAGGGAAACTTGGACAGTTTATTCATACCAGAAGAAATATCTAAATAGATTTCATATGCAATGTCTACAAAGAATACTCAGCATTGAGTAGCAAGACAAAATTACAATTACAAATGCTCAGGTATAGGAAAATGCAGGAGTCACCAGTCTTCAAAGGCCCAGAGGACTAGGTCGAGTTTAGAGGATGATAGAGTCCATGAGGACATCATCTGTGGTGAATTACAGATGGGTAGAAGGTGTTGAGACTGGCCTCTACTACCATATAAAGGTGTGTGCAGGTGGGACATAAATGATACAGGTATTGAGATAGATTCATGGGAACAAAATGCCATATACCCTATTGCATGGAAGAAAATTGTGGCCGGGGGGGGGGGGGGGGGGGGGGTCAGGAAGGGGATAAGCAAAATAGAGACAATGGGGGGGGGGGGGGGTAAAGCTGAGCGCCTGATAATAAGCACATAAAAAATATGCAATAGCAACAATAATCCTAAAATCCTGTGCATTGATTTTAGAAGAAATTTCTTTACCTGAGGGGGTCTTGTTAGTCACACACACCATCAGCATGGGCTGGGATTCTCATGCATCCCTAAAGCACAGTATTACTGCTGTCTGAAAAGACAGAAAGGTGCCAAATAACTATATATTATATAAATGGCAGGAGTGGCTCGAAAGTAGT